AAAAAGCAAAAATAATTAACCCAAAAGAAAGTCCAAAATGGCAAAATTAAAAATGTTGCAGCCTGTTCATGCATGGACAGTACTGTTAAGTACAAACTACTGTCCATGCCCTCTAGCACCCAGTTTATAATGTAGTATTCAATATTTAAACATGAAAATGGTGAAAATTTGAATTACTGTAAGAAACATCTGCAGACTGTTTATTCTGAGGAAAATTTAGGAAGGTTTTAAAACTGATATAAAATTGTAAAGAGAAATATAAAGTTATTCAAATCTAAAATTACATCTCCTTTATTATACAAAGTAAACACAAAACAATTGTGTACTTTTTACTAAACCCTTACCATGTTTAATATCTAAAATGGACTTGTCCATCTTTCAATCCGGACAAAACCATTCATCATTGGTAGGTAAGATTTTTGGCATCCGCGCCGAAGCGTGAGGCCCTTATGGAATGAAATCAGATTTTGTGAAAGGGCAATTGCAACTTCTCGGGCGTTTTTGTCTGTCATAATAGCCGATCATTCCGATTGGTATGAGGAAAAATGAAATGTTGCGATATGTATAATGAATAGCAAACTGGAAAATTTCACAATGCAAACATCTGAAATTATCTTATACAATTTGTAATGACTGATTATAGCGAACAGTGTAAACCATGAATGATCTGTACTGGTCACATGGGTAGAACCTGTTGCCATATTTTAGAAGGCTAAGGGTTAAAGTATACATAGCATGCCTCCAGATTGCTAATTATTATGAAATAGGAAGGGTTTTGTCAAGAGAAATATATTCAAGCCTGAAAATAAGGCATGAACAACATACATAAGTTATACCTAAAATATGTCAAAAATTTGCAAAACTAGCCTCTTATTCTGTTAACATTTAAAATATTGTTAAAAAAATTGCATGAATACGATGTAATTCTGGCATATTTTGCATATAGGATGTAAATTATTGCATGAATTTTGAAATATTTATATTTTTCCCAAAAAAAATTTTTTTTTTTCAAAACTTTGTACGCTCATCTGCAGGCGTACTAACTTAAATAATTAAATGTTTATTAATAAAACCCATCCGAGCATTATATGATTCATTTGTTAACCACATATAAGAAGTACACTACTTGCTCCTTAAAAATGTTCCTATAAAGTACAAAAGACTGTATATAACATCTATATTTATCATGCTGAATTTCTTAAATTGACAAGACCAGCTTCCATTTTGGCACTGTTAATTATCAAAATGAAAAAAAAGTGTGTCTGTGAACAGTATAAAGCCTGGTCCAACTTCACGGACATGCAGGCTGGCCTGGCTTTATCCTGGTGACAAAGGTAAACAGCCGATACACTCGGTCCGGCAGGTTAACTGTTAAAATTTACGAAGAAATTAAAAAAAAAAAATCTTTTTAGATTATTATTTATTAAACTTTTCAAACTTAAATTAAACATATAAAGTTTTAAATAATTTATTACAAAATCTTGACAAAAAGTACAACTTTGAAAGTCATAAAATCATAAATCCATGAAATAGCTTTAAGTTTTTGTTAAATAAAATTTATGTTTCCAAGTATGAAAATTAATGATTTTACAGTTAAAGAAAAAAATGACAAAAATAATTTTGTAATATATTACATTTGTTTATATCAAAACAACATGCGACCAAAAATTAAAAACCTTCATTAATTTGATAAATTATGTAAGTGAATAATTCTCCAACCCTTAATCTACTGCAAGCAAAAGTGACTTTATAGTAGCCTTTGCCACCAGTATAGAGCCAGGCCAACCTGCACACTCTGTACTGTTAGCTGCCAGGCCAGCTTCATAGATTAATGATTAATAGTTCCAAAAAATGGTACATGTATTTAGAAATTTCAGCAAGATACGTGTTAAGTCTCAAAACTTACTATTTGTTAATACATGTACTTTAAGGTTTAAACCTTCTCCATAAACTTTTTTTATTCAAACAAATTTAGATCATCTATATATGTAATTCCAAATTTTAATCCTCTGTCTTAAAACCTTAATCAAAAATGTGACACCTACATTTTTTTTCCTACTGCATAATTATATTCCTAAACAATAAAGTATATTACTTATCATACATACATTTTATTTGATATGTGTTCCAAAAGCTATGCAGGGGTCATTTATGGTTAACTAGTTCTTTAAACAATTCACTATCTTATTACAAAAAACAGTATCAAATTTTATTCTATTTTTTCAACATATCAAGTGTAAAATCAGGAGGTGATTTGGTACCACAGGTACTGTTTGCCAGGAAAGTGTCATAAAACTGGCCTGGATTTTAAATGACTCAATGTGTGGGCACTTCGTAGCCTTGCAGAAAGAATTATGTCAATTTGAAATGACTCAATTGTGTGGGTATTGGTGGCCTTGAAGAAAGAATCAAGTATGAAATAATGTCTTGAAAAATCATAGCATTTATTGACAAAGTTATGAAAACATAATGTAGAACAATAACCATGATGTCATTTAAGGGTCAACTATGACTAAATAAGAATTTTGTTGGTCTGTGTCCACTAATTTCTTATCATTAGTGAATGAAAAATGTTACATACAGACAGAAGAGTGTTTGTTTTATTTTTCTATTGCAAAATTTCATAAATGTCATATACATGTTTTACATCATGACCTAAAGTGAAACTCATTACAATAAAATTCATAATTATGTGTAAAAACAAACAAAAACCACAATACATGTACTTTAATTCCGCTTAGAATTTATTTGTCATCTCTTGTAAAAGTTTATCAAATTTCCCCAAAAGTTAAATAAAAGTCTTCATACTCAATAACAAGGGATACTTTCACACTTACCTTTTCATTATTTTTGCTAAAATATTAAATGTTAAAATGTTTTCAATTTCATAATATGAACATGGAGGATAAAATCATGATAGGCCTAATTCTAACTTATTTTTGATAATATACTTTAATTAACCCAATGTCTTAAAAAAAACCCAAAGAGCAAGAATATAATCTCTTAGTCGGACTATATTCAGTAGTGTTACTATGACCGGATTGTAGACAAAAAATAATGAACACAAACTTCTCAAACGTAATAATTTTTTGTCGAGGCATAACGACCGTCTCAGCCCGAGATTACTCTACTTTGTGTAAGTCTCTATTATTGTCCTATTACCCTATAAAAATAATCTTCTTGCACAAAAGACAGATATATTTAAAATACCCGATTTCTCAATGAAAAATATCTATTAGCTTACTAAGGTTAGGAATGTTTTACTATACCTTAGGCTTTGTTAACGACCTCTGGTCTACTAAATTTGCGTGTTATATCTGATCTATGTAACGCCATTCAAATAACTTATATCTTAAATCATACATCGGTTAATAAACCACAGATGTGAACAAATTGTAATGATGAAATAGCAAGGTATTGTGTGACAAGTATTATTATAACAAAATTCAAGGGTTGGCTGCAAAACTTTGTAAGTCCTTCCTTATTTTATATAAGTTACTACAGTTTTGCAGTCAACCCTCGAAATATTTGTTGAAAATTGTCTCCATATTAACAAGTGAGAAATTATTGAGTGTTAACCATCATCATCATCATCATCATAATTAAAATGGTGAGTTAATTATGCCATATTCAAATAATCAATTTTGCTAAGACATGAATTAATACAAGTACATTTGTACGTTACAAGTATAAAATGGATACAATTTGCTCTATACTAGCCAAGAAGTCAGACTGTATGGATGTGCAAGGTGGGAAGGCAATGACCTTTAAATATTCCAAGGTTTGAGTCTGAAAAATATGCTATCCTGTTAACTTCAGCTTGACTCTCAGACCATCTTTCAAGAAAATAAACAATGTTGACTTTCTCTGGTAACTAGTTATGCTCATTTCTACTGCTGGAACCAAAACCCTTAGCCACCAATATAGAGTCATGCCAGCTTGCACATCTGTGGACTGGAAAAGCCCATCAAAAGTGACTTTCAGAAGTTGAGAGGTTTATGTATCTTAACATTTTCCTACAGATTACTACAAATTTAAAATAAAAATAAACAGGTGATTCTTGTTGTCAGTCATTTTTTGAATGCTACAGCTGACAAAGATGACAAAGACTAAGCTATTACAAGCCTCTGTCACAAGTATAAAGTCAGCCCAGTCTGCACATAAGTTAGTCTGACCAAGCTCTGTACTGACAATAGCTCAATTCTAAAATCCCTTATATGTTCAACGGACTGTTCCAAATTCAAAGCATAGCAAACCCATAACCCAAATGGAAAACCCTTTTAAACAAAAATTGCAGGAAGACGTGGACATGGTTGCAGATATTGCATGACACTAGAGACATGACAATTTTTTTTCTCCTTACACTTTGTACAGGCAAGTTCTATATTTTGAACATATTAAATGACGCACAAGGTTGTTTCATTAACCGCAGTCCATGTCATTGTGATTAATCAAGATTTTTGTAGAAAATTAGTCGAGACATAATTTATACAATCATTACCTCATTTAACATGGGCAAAATCATAACATTTTAACCACAATGTCTACACCTTTAAAGTCATGTCGCAGTGTTTTTTGTCTGTTTTATCATCATTGTTAAGGGGTTTTTGACAATACATCAAAATTACAAACGTAATAATTACAGGTAATAATTCACACCTAGTCAGGATTTTCCAATGTGATCTTCTTGAGATATCTGATTTAAAGTTTAAGGATTTAAAATACAAGATTACATAATAATATTAACAAATAAAACAATAACAAAAATTCTGGCCTCATCGAGTTTTAGATTACAAAATCCAATATCAAAATCATCAATTTTTTTTAATGAATTTAGTTGCAAGCATGAAAATGTTCCATACAATATTATCTTTACATAATCTTAATATTTTATTAATAAAAAAAAACAAAAAACAACCAACCCCTACAATAATTACAATGGAGATAAAAAAAATTAAAATATAATATTTCATATAAATATAAAGAAAATTTAATAATACCTCAAATTATAGATCCATATTCAATGATTAGAACAAAACTTAAAGGCATGAATCCCCTGCTGTGGAAATCTAGAAGTCAGACTGAGCCATGTGTAAGCTAAACAACACTTTTTGTCCATTTAGTTACAAAGAGATAATTATGATAAACAAAACCCCTAGGGATCTTGTTACACTAACTTATTGTGTCACAGATTGACTGATAAATTAACCCAATGTTATATGAAACTCAGAGTTAAATAAAATGATCAATACCCCCCATATTTATATATACACTAGCTCTATTCAAACCACAATAGCCATGTGATCCGTCCTGTAAATTTTCAATAAATCCATATATAAGCCATAAAATTGTCATTATTTTGTACCGTATTGTTAAAATTCATCCGTCCCTTGAAAAAAAAGAAGGTCTTTTCAATGAATGTAAATGTACATATGAAAGTTTAATGTTATGTTATTGTGTTTAAATTCTACTCCTATCCTAAGGCCTATTATTGTAGCATAAAAACAGTGACCATTGTTTTAACAGGTAGGATAAATATTTAAACAGACCTCTGCTGCTGCTGCATTTCAATGTTGGTCTCAACTTTAAACTATAAATGAGCCGCACCACGACAAAACCAACATAATGGGTTTGCGACCAGCATCCGCGCAGTCTGATCAGGATCCATGTTGTTTGCTTACAAACCCTATAACAAGTAAAGAAACTGATAGCGAACAGCATGGATCCTGATCAGACTGCGCGGATGCGCAGGCTGGTCTGGATCCATGCTGGTCGCAAACCCACTATGTTGGTTTTGTCATGACGCGGCTCAAATGGATTGTGGCTGTACCACCTTGCATTTTATAAACTTTATTATGACTCTTTGTGTAATATAATACATCATAGACACAATCTTTCATTACCATTAATGTACCTACCTGGTAATGAAAATACATAAAAAATAAAAATAGATATTAGAGTCTCCTAAACCAACTCATGTTACACGCATGCAATTGTATTTTTGTGACGCACAAAATTAAGCTTTACACAATTAAATTCAATGATTTAGCAAAAAGGCTGCAATAAAAAATTTATTTTCAGTCCTAGGCGGCAGAGTCAGAGCAAGTCTATGTTATTTCTCCTTTTCTGTTTGGCAAGATAAATAAATCCTATATCATTATTAATATTACAAAGATGTTTGTTAAAAAGCTGCAAGTACAAATATGATTTTAGTAACGTCCATAACCCTTAATCTACAGGAACGGTAAGTGATCAGTATTTGATACCAGTATAAAGCCAGGCCAACCTGCACATTCGGTCATTTTGACCAGGCTCTTATATATACACAATTCTCTGAAATTGTTTGTAGTTTTTGAACTCCCTGACCTTTTTTGAATGGAATATTTTAAATTTAAAGCTGTGAAAATCCATTACACAAATTCAGCAGGTTAAGGGTGTAAAAAAAAAAGAACGTTTCAGCTATATAAGAAGAAGAATTATTTGACAGTGTTAACTTGTAACAATATAAAGCACTATGTAGCGATCCATCAGTGATGTATCACATAAAAGACTGCTGGAAATTGAAAAGATACCACAATATGTTGTCATATGTAAATGACAGCAGCCCTATCCTCTTAAAGACAAGTAAGGTGTTCTTTGTTTATGATCTTGCCTTGGATCGAAGAGACGTCACTAATGAATAGACATGTTTATAATCACATTGTTTCATTTATATATATTTAAGCATTATAAGTTTCCGTACAATATCACTTAAGCTGCAATTTTTTTGTTTGGTTTTATAGTGCACCAACACAATTAAGGTCATATGGTGATGACTTTGGCTAACATATGTTACAAAACTTAAAGCAACACTAATGGTCAAAACCACCTCACCTGCTGGAGCTAAGAGATGCATAGAGTCCAGTAATTCAAACACATTTAGTCGGCTCTTAGGGTCATGCAGTGATAAACAGTAAACTGCCTCAATAATGCCTCAACCCTTAAAGGCAGACCCTCAGCCACTAGGGAAAATTAAGTCAATTGAAGAATTAAACATAATAATATGTACTTACAGTTGTTATGAATTTAAATCTTCTGCATACAACTAAGTTTATAAATACAGCTCTTATTGTAGTTATTAAGAATGACTCAGGTTTATCTTTTATACCATATTTACACCTACAACCTGTACAGTACAGTCACCTTTTATCTAAGTGTGTAACCCTTTAAGTGCATTATACTAAATCATTTGTCTTCATAGAACCACAAATCATGTTTATTGTAAAAACAAAAGCTTGTTTTTGTTTTGGGGCATCACTTGTCCTGTTAAACTTAGATTATCTCTTGTGATAATCAGATTTTAGGTGCAGGTACATTTAATTATCATCAACCTGTTTACACTTCAATAAAATATCTCTCACAGGCTATTTACTGGTCAACCAGAAATGTCTTTAACCTTTCACCCTTACTAAGCTAAATTTGTAAGATGGACTTGACTTGACTTGGTTATGAATTTCAAAAATAGTTAATTCTCAATTTTAGGGATATCCAAAGTTGTATTTACCCAACTAGTCAAACTGCTATATCTGACCTTGGTTTAAAATTTCAGAACAGTCTCTGGTTTTTGGATATCAAAATTTGAATTTGCCCAGTCAGCAATGCAGAGAGACTGGTAAAAATGTATTTGTCTAAAATCATGCTACAAAATAGTACAAAGGTATAGGGAAAATACATTTGTCTAAAATCATGTTACAAAATAATATAAGGAAAATGCATGTGTCTAAAATCATGTTACAAAATAGTAAAAAGAAAATACAATTGTCTAAAATCATGTTACAAAATAGTATAAGGAAAATGCATTTGTCTAAAATCATATTAGAAAATAGTATAAGGAAAAATGCACATGTGCAAAATCTGATACAAAATGATATTTATATACATTTCTAACATCTTGTTCCAAAATAGTATAAAGAAAATACATATGTCCAAAATCATGTTACAAAATAGCATAAGGAAACTGCATTTGTCTAAAATCATGTTACAAAATAGCATAAGGAAAATGCATTTGTCTAAAATCATGTTACAAAATAGTATAAGGAAAATATATAAGCCTAAAATTATGTTACAAAATAATATAAGGAAAATGCCCATGTGCAAAATCATGTTACAAAACAGTATAAGGAAAATACACATTGACAAAATAGTTTAAGGAAAATACATGTGCAAAATCTTGTTACAAAATAGTTCAAGGAAAATGCATTGGTGCAAAATCATAAAACAAATGTATAAGGAAATACACAGTAATCATGTCACAAAATAGTATAAGCAAAATACGCATTTTCAAAATCATGTTACAAGACAGTATAAGGAAAATGCACATGATCAAAATCGTGTTACAAATACATGCATTTCAATGAACTTTTTTCAAAATTCTTTTCATAACCCCAAAGTATGTGAAATCTAGTTTTTTTTCCTTGTTGCTTCAACAAGGCCTATTTCATACTACAATATGTATAATTTGTTGTTTGTGATGTCCAACTTTGTGTTCATCTTTTATTTTATTTGATACAACAATATCATTGTTAAGAAAGAGTATTTGAAATTTTTGGAAAACATTGCATATCATAATTGTTCTACTGAGAATAAACACATCTGGTATTAATTTTGCAGGCATTTTCAAATAAAATTTTGGGTTTGTGCTGACTGGCAACTTACAGACTGATTGTAACATAACATGGACTTGCGTGTATGAGTTTATCTATACTGGCCAATCTATATGGGCAAGTACTCCATAAGAATATTAGATAGTAAAAGATACATATGCAAAAAGATGCCTCCATTTCAGAAGCCTCTCCTGATTCTTTAGCGTGCCAAGTGTTTAAGCACTCATACACAGGACCTCGATTTAAAGTTGATTAGTGTTTAAGTTGGCCAGCCTGGATTTGAGTTTACAAGTCTTGCCCTCTGACTGTTTGAGTTTTGTAGGCTGGCAAATTAACAACTGGATGAACACAGACCAGGGTAATAGTAAAACAAATTTCTTTAGTATGAACTGATACTGGCAACTTCTAACACCATACAAAATGTAAATGCCTTTCTTAACACAATGTAGTTACAAAAAAAGTAGTTTACATTATCAACGCATCATTTCAATACGTGACACTCCTCCCACCCTCGTTTTCTCCCTTAACCAATTTTTTAAACAAACATTATTCGTTTGATCACATATTTCTCTGTAATAATAAATCAGTTTTCAATTATTTTCCTCCATTAACTTTCATTATCTAAATCAGTATATATATAACATTTTGTTTTTCTTCATTTGTATAAAATGCCTTATGGTTTTAACCATTACATTCCAGATTGACTATTAACAGAAAGAGAAAAGTGTTTGCCACTTCTATGCCGTCTGCCCAGACTCTATATTGTTGCATGACCGACTTTCTAATTTTTATCTTGATATCCCCGAATTTGATAATGTACCATTCCAAAAATGAAAGCAAGACAAGTCCATTTAAGGAATTCATCAGATTCAGGGTTATTATAAAACAGAGCAAACAACTTTGACAAAACTAAGTTTCTGGAACCAAAATTTATTTAAAATATCATATACAAGGGCACAGGTTTTGTTCTAAAATTAGTTTTTAGACAGAAGTTAAAAATATTATTTTTTATTGTATACAAATGTATACAAGTTATATGGAAGGTCTTGTTCTAAAATTAGCTCTTTTTTGACAGAATTTATAATAATCTGTTATTTCTTTTGTCATTTACAAATATATACAAGTTATACAGTAGGTCTTGTTATAAAAGCTAGTTTTTTTTCTGACAGAAGTTAAGATAATCTCTAATTTAATAAATGATATAAATCAGCAATAAATGTCAAATAATGTAGGTTAAATGTTAACAGCCAATTTGTCATGTATGCCAGGCCAGTGTACTAGATCTTGATGTGTTCAGGGTATGAACACACACTTAAGAGAAACAGAAAGGATAAGTACTGTACTCTGTGATAAGATATTATCAAATCATTCACTGTATCTACATATACTTTTTTGTTTCCATGCAACATATACATTTTGTTTCCATACAACATATACTTTTTGTTTCCATGCAATATATACTTTTTGTTTCCATACAACATATACTTTTTGTTTCCATACAACATATACATTTTGTTTCCATACAACATATACTTTTTTGTTTCCATACAATATATACTTTTTGTTTCCATACAACATATACATTTTGTTTCCATACAATATATACTTTTTGTTTCCAAACAACATATACATTTTGTTTCCATACAACATATACATTTTGTTTCCATAGAATATATACATTTTGTTTCCATACAACATAT